ACGCGCAACCTCTCTAGTTCGTGAGATAATCTGGTAGAGAGTCAATCTTGATACGCTGAATCATATCTCAATTAACGAGAAAGCGGCGACTCTCTCTTCTTATCATTATTCTGCGTTCGCTTCAAGCATATCTACTTTTGTCTGTTCTGCGTCGCTCGTTTCTGCCGTAGATCCGAATCTCGCTATCGGTCGGGAGCGGAGTAAGGCCAATGAGTGAGAGCGATTTTTTACAAAAAATAGTGAAAGGTTACACGATCTAATCAAGATCTGAGTCATGTCAGTTCTTCTGCTGTTCGGCGTTTCCTCGTCTCTCTGTTGTAGTGACGTAGTGGGTAGTGCTCGCATCGTCTTGTTCGGTCCCGGGCAGGTAAGCGTTCTATGAGCTATTCCTGGTATAATTGTTGTCTGATCTAGATATCGGAATGGATGTATTCTTACTCTTCTCTCAGTCATGGAACTCGGCTTCTCCCTATCGCACTCTCTCGGCGAGAAGAACTCTCATCTCGTTTTTTTAGTTCCTTCTCCGGAGTCTCTATCTATCTATACGTGAGGTCCGAGATTCTAGTTCTGATGCTGATTGCATTATCTATGCATGATGATCTCTCTCGGCTTTAGTTTTCTAGTCTAGACTCTATCTATTTGATCTGAACGATCTCGTTTGTATCTATCTATCTGGATCGTTATCTATCTATCTATCTTATCTCTGTCTCTCTCTAACTCGCGCATTCTCTGTCCAGTCGTGGAGACTTATTGGAGTGCACAGTGCTGCTCTCTCCTGGCTCCTGCCTCTCTGCCCTCCCGGCGTCGCTTTCAGAGCACTGGTGCGTCGTCCTGTTTGGCTTTAGGTCGCGCTTGCGTTTGCGTTCTTGATTTGGTGTTTCTGTTCCGCTCTTAGCTGTCATAGGGAGGTTTCTGGACGCTGCTCTTCTCCTCTCTCCGGTCTGCTCTCACTCAACACTAAACAGCTATCCACCTCTCTTTTAAAACAGACCGTAAAAACGCACCCAAACACGTTCGTTAAAAGTTCGTATCGTTCCCAGAATGGCAGTACCCACTTCCTGCGGATGATCGAATTCCCGCGTCACATCGTAACGCTTCGAACCGCTTAAAGCGCAGGGTGGCGTTGCGTGCTCGTGCGGTCGTTGAAACTCCGTAACTGTCAAAGTACATCTCGCTGTCCTGCGGGCGTTCGGCCGCGACCGCGAGGTTCTGATAGAGTCTCGCATCAAGGGAGCAGCGCGTCAGCAGCACGAGCCGTAACACTGAGCCACGACTTTTCGTCGCCGCCCTTCTTGCGTCTTCGATATGACGTTCACGATCGCCGGGATCTCTCGGCGAAGCCTGCCACTTCCGGTAGCGCATCCTCTATCCCGTGAAGCCTCCGTACGGGTAGGTAGTCTTCCCTGTTGGCGTTTGGCGGCTCGAGCACGCTTAGCCACCGCAGAGGTGACGCGTCTCTAACGTCAGTCTGCGGTTCCCGCCTGAGGCGCCAGCCAGGCGTGATGGCGTTATAGTCCATCCTGCTCCTCCCTCTCTCCTCCTCATTCTGCCTGCCTGCTGTGTGTTGTTGTTGCTGCTGCTGCTGTTGCGCTGCTGGTTGTTGTGACTTGCTGTTGCCGCTGCTTGCCTGTTGTTGTTGTCATGCTCTGCTGCTGTTGGCTGGCCTAGTGCGCCGTGTTGTTGCTGTTGTTGTTATTGTCTGCTGGCCTGCTGCCCGCTGCTGTTCTCTCTCGAGGTGTGACAGATGTGGTGGTAAGGTGTCGGCTGGTACTTTCCCAGCGCCGTGGCCGCGTGGTGGCTGCACGGATCGAGGCGGCCCGCGTTTCTCGCCGCCGGTTGAACCCACCGCCCTGCGAACGCCTCCGGAATCTCGTCCCGTTTCGGCAGCGCGCGCGTATCCGGATGTGATCGTCCGGTTGAACGTGGCCAGCGCTACCTGGTGGCGGAGGCCGGACCACGGCGCCTCTCGCCCCTCTTCTTCCTTCTCTTCCTCGACGAACAAGTACGGATTGTAGAGAACCGGCCGGTTCGCGAAACGACCGGGATCCGGCGCGTTTCGCTCGGCCTGTTGCCGCGCTTCGCTGTAGTTAGTGGAACGGCGTTGAAGGTTTTCTCCCAGCGCACGTAAGCGAGGCAGGCGTCTCTCCTCTCTCCGTCGCTGTCCTCCTCCTTCTCCTTCCTTTCCTCCTCCTGCTCTCCTCCTCTTCCTCCTCCTCCTCCTCCTCCTCCTCTTCTCTTCGCTCCCTGGGTGCGGTGCGAGGTGCGGTGTCTCCAGTCGTTCTACCAGGTCCCGATATAAACTCCCGGAGCCACACTCCCGGATGCGGATCGTTCCCGGCTGAAGGCGCGTCACTCGCGGCATCGCGTTGGTGGCCCCGATCCCGCCGGACGGTCCGAGCGCGCGTTGCCGTAGCGTCACTTAATTGACGAAGGTTTGGATCCGCCGCGCCCAGACGGCGCAGGGTGTGCCGTCTGTCGCCGATTCCGACGGAATTCCGTTTGGTCTCTCGATCCGCCGCGTTCGAAATCCGAGTTCGTTGAGAAGGCACCGAGCGGAGTTTGTGCGGGCCAGGAAAGCTGCTAGGCGCGCGCCAGGATAGATATGCTTCCGAAGTGCCTGACGCGACGGCGTCGGTCCGTCGGCTGCGCATACCGTCTGCTCTGGAACTATTCGGTTTCCCTCGTCGGCCCGCTGGTCGCGTGGTGGCCGGTGTTGGCCGGCTCTCCGTGTGATTGCGAGGCCGGTCGCATGATGCCCCTGGTGCGTCTCACCCATCGCTGCCTGGCTTCGTTTCTGTAGATCACTGACGCAGCAGAGGGTTCCGGGGTCTCCATCGCGGACGCAGTCGCCCCCGTGCATCGCCATGACGCTACGCATTCGATTGTTATCAGTCGCTACGCATACCTGAGCAGAAACGACGAATTTTTCAGTGAACTTACACAAGCAGGTGGTGCGAAGTTTACTGACGAAATTGGGCGGATATTAATTCAGATTTTAACTTTATTGCGATGAGATAGAGATAGAGATTAGATCATATCAATTATGTTCGTTCGTTAGCGGTATCTTCGATCGGACAATAGCCTTCCTCGGATTATGCTCGTTCTTCAGGAGTCTTCCTCGATTATGGTACCGATGGTATGTTATTCACGGTATTCGGACGATGGACATTGCAACCCGTGTGATTGCAGCGGCTTACAATTCATAAAGAGTAATGATTTTTTTCATCATCAAGAATCTCGGCGTGAATTATGGACATGGTTTGTCGTCGGGAACAATCTTCATAAGCGCGCATGATAGCGGTGGTAGTAAGTTAGCGTTCAAGCTCAGCGTGTATAGTGTGCTGGCCTTGTGACAGTGGACATATTAACCGTTCTGCACTATCTTCCCCGCACGAGCAAACCGCGGTTTTAATTCTGGACCGGTAAATATCAACTAGATCTCGTCCCGCGTGAAAATTGATGGTCATAAACGCCAGCCTGTGTCTATTATTATTCCGTTTATGTCCTTGAAATATGGACTGGATGTTGTGGCGGGAATAGGCTACAATGGGAGTCGGGTGCTCCCGCGCTCACTATACTCAGCCCACACACACACACACACACACACACACACACACACACACACACACAGGCACACACACACACACGCTCACACGCACGCACGCACGCACACGCACGCACCACACACACACACACATGGCCATATATAGGCCGGTGTGGGTCACTGGTGTAAATCGTACGGGGCACGGCGAGTAAGCGAGCGCAAACAGACGTATGTTACCGCGGGGCTCCGTGCTTCGCGGTACCACGAGACGTATCTATCGCGTGTTTCACCTGGCATCGCGCTGCAATTAAACTTAGAGAGCCGGCGACGTCGTCAGGTTTCTCCCTCTTCCTCTCTGTCCGCGCAGCCTGATTGCCGTTCGTTCGTCATGCTCCCTCCCCCGCCGCGACGTCACGACCGGTCACCAGCTATACACATACTCCGCGCGTATGGCTGTGTATTACTGTTATAATTCGATTCAAATTCATTCATGCGTGAATCGAATTGATTCGATGCATCATTCGATGCGTGAGATGAATGATGCCATCGAATCATTCGATTCGCGCACTCGAATCCATTCGACTTCACGCATCGAATGATGCATCCGAATCATTCGCGATGCCGTGTTAAAAGTCGAATGCATTCGATGCCGGAATCAAAATAATATGCGATAATCGAATGTTATAATGTGATAAATCGAATGCTTAATTGTGATAAATCGAATGTTATATTGCGCTAAGATATCCAACCATAAACAAAAATCGAATTATGACACAAAAACATTGCCATTACGCGCGTGCCGCACGTCGGACTCTATCTTATCTTTGCAGATAGACACCAAAATTATCTTCTAGAGGAGGAGGAGGGGAGGGTGAGAAGGAAGGAGGAAGAAGAGAAGGAGTAGTGGCGGAGGACTAGGGGAGGAGACAGGGGGAGCACGGGAGCAAGGGGGAGGAGGAGGAGGAAGAGGAATGAAGGAAGGAGGAGAAAGAGGAGCAGGGGAGGAGTAGAAGAGAGGAGAAGGGTGTGAGTACGAAGGGAGAAGCCGGGAGGGAGAAGGAGAGCTAAAGGGAATGCGGGAGGGGCGAAAGACAGGCAGGCAGGCGAGAGCGGGACAGAGAAGGAGCAGGAGGAGGGCGTGCCACGATCTGTGTGCATCCGTTCTTCCTCATATTATGATCTCGCGCGCAACTGCCGGAGCGATGCCAATATCAGGTCTGTCAACTCACAGGTGCGGCCACTGGCTAGCTTATCGTGCTAAGTGCGTTAAGTTAGGATAGTAAGGGCAGTAAAGGCTAAGTATAGGCACGCTGCGTGTGCATGAATGCAGCGGTAACATTACTATAAAACGCGAAAATTACCGCGAAGCCTGTCTCGCCCGGATTATCCTCGAAGACTAGAAATTACGTAAAATAATTAGCGCCAAAAAATTTAAACGTAGTTATAGAGTAATTTATAACACCGTTATTTGTATTTACACTAAATATTTCGAATTTCCCTCTATTTTTCGGTCATGCTTTTGTATTACCAACGCCGTTTTCATATGATGCCATTGTTAATGACTTTATGCTGTACAGGCATATTCTTTAAACTTTGAGCGCGGCGTTACACTATGCTAAACCGGGGTACCGCATCTACCACGCTGTTGCTAAACGCGGGTTTTAGAGGTGGGTTTTATTAAAAACCGCGGAGTTTTAGTCGAGCGCTCCGTAGGTGTAGACAAGAACATGACAGAAAACCCGCGTTTTTAGCTATGTTATCCCACCACTCAATGACATAGATGAGGTGCCTCCAATATACGGCCGCACATGTCTTCCAGTCACGAATTGGACCCAATTGATGTGTAAACTCAATCGTAGATGGGTTGCCTGTCTGTCGTCGAAACATTTTCAGGCCGTCGATGCGCCCGTACCCTCGTTTGCGTTGTACTCTAGTTAACCCGTCTTCTATTTCTCCCATCAGCATCAAAACGAGTCTTAGCATTCAGAAACAACTGCTAAAGAATTGCCACTAAACCGAGAAGCTTACCTCTCGTATAATAACTCTAATAACTAATTCAATGTGTTACTATCTGAATTCCCCAACTGTCAAAACACGGCCGCCCTGCTACCGGATTAGTGCTGTGATACAACCGAAATATACTTAAACACCGGCCATTCAGCGAAGGTGGAGTTTTGACAGCTGTAGACCGCCTGCACCACCACAAAAACCGTGGTTTTAAAAACCGGCGTTTTAGTCTTAGTGTAGACGCGCTCTGATGATGTGCAATAATTCTTGCGCAACGCAACTTTTGACAATAGAAATACGTTCCGGGTGTCGCTTCGCCATTGTTGTCTCTTCTATGATGATACTTACAACATTGCGATACGACATCATATCAATTGTTATGTCTGCATTGTTCGCAACCCGTTTATACACTGTTCAAACAGTCTCACACCACTTGGTACAGGAGCTAACTTCTCTACCTTTCTCGCATGAACGACGTTTGTGGCAACCATTATACGCAGAAGGCTGCTGCTATCACCGAAAGTTTCTGATGATTACGTATGAATTACTTAGAGGAAATGTTATGTGATTTATATCAATGTGAGTTTCCGTATCGGAATAATTTGTACAGCATATGATCGCAGGCGACGAATAATAGTGAAGAAAAATCTATATATTAATTAGCTAACATGTACATTATCGAACTACCGTGCGCTACACAGAAATATTTTACGCGGGTCGGTTTATTGATAATCTAGTTTACATAATTGTGAAGCTTATTAGCTGTTGTTTCAATAGCGTTTCTATCGCGTTGTAACGACAGAGAGACCGTAAGAAGACACACTCAGGGATGGGAAAAGAAAAGCCGGAAGAGGAGGGAGATGGAGAGATGGAGTGCATGGGAGATACGATATGAGAGAGTGGGGAAACGCACATGTATCGGGTCAAATATTATTTGATTAATTAAGTTTGATACTTTTCTAAATGTTTTCATACGTTATTATTCGTATCTATGAGCGAGTCGTTCTAAATCAATATAACAGCGCGTACTTCCCGCCACAAACTCAACCATCCGGCAACGGGTATGTGCTGACAATTCATTTACAGTTGATCGCGTCACCATATCGACTACAATAGAACGCGGCCTAGTCTCAATGACGGCCACCACGTAGGAATAACAACGCTATTGTCGATCACCGTTGATAACGACAGATCTAAAACAGGTTATAATCATACTTGTGGTGTGCTATCGCGTTCAAGGACGTGCATATACATAGCTGTGCAATTTTCACCTATTTCCTGCTTTTAAACAAATGGCGGTCTCACGTGACCCTGAGAAGTGAGACCCGCGTTAAACAGTCTACTGGTAACTGCGTCTCTATTGTTGGTGTTGGGACGAGTCCGTCACGTCCGAACATCATGATTTGTTACAAGCATCGACGGTTGGCTTTGTTCCTCACGGCGCGGGAAAGATGGAATTCGTACTGCAAGAGTACCCGTCATCGATGCATGCTTCGATCGGCTGCATTTGTATTGTTTTATCGTTTAGCTTTCATTCAAGTAGAAAAGCACCAACAAAATCTCAACGTAATCTCGTGATAATCTTAAGGCGGGATTAATTATCATTATGATAATTTCTATTCGCGTTCACGCGAGTTACGACAGTTTAATCCGCCCAAAATTAAATCCAAAATTAATCCGCCAGTATAATTCAGTTTAATACGGTTACGGTGTATTCGCACTCTATATACGTGTTGCATTTTCCTAGCGTTCGGAACATACGAGCTTATTCATTACTTATAAAGGCTGTGTCACATTGTAAATGCAAGACATATCATTCCGGAAGTCCTTTCCGGTGAATGAAGTTTAGGCAAATAAGTGTCTGGATCCTGGCACTCAATGGAACGTTGCAAGCCAAGAGCATGCGGACGTGGTCTTATCATACCAAAAGATATCCACTAATAATGCGCCGCACGAAATGTTTACAGACGCCTTGATTGGCTGATAATAATTCACGCTTCGAAAAAATGGTCAGTCTGCAGAGACTACCGGTAATGGTCACAATACTGTGTCATTACACAGTATAATGCCGTGCGTAACCGCAGGGGGAAATTGCTTTTAGATTTCACAACCTCTATCGCTATAATATGTGTAGTTTGTGTGTATGCGTGCGCGCACGACACGCGTTCCCTCGCGTGTAATCGTCCAGCGTGGTGTACACACATCCTGTCGCTTTATGAAGTTGCCGCAAACCGGGGGTGTGCGTGACGATTTTCATTTTGGCAATGCTAACCTAGTTCTGGCTAATTCACACGCGGCAGTAGAGGCGCGGACCGTCACGCTGAGATGATCTGAGTAAGGGGAGAGACAAACACACGCGCGCGCGCAAATGCGGCTCTCAACTGAACTTGTCGCTTAAACGCGGTGTCTTCGCATCTTTGTTCGATTGCGGTGTTATACCTCAATACTCTCAGATACGGTCAAATACTCTCAGAGAGAGATTTGTGGGCGGGTTAGCAGGCGGTAATGTGCGGGCCGGCCCCGCTGATGACTCACCGGAAGATGGTGAATACAACTTCATGTACTTGTGAACTAGCGGGCTCGCCTTCTCTCTCTCTCTGAGATTTGTCTTTCTCGCTCTCCTGTCTCTCTCTAGATATTGTCTTCTCTTTCTCCTTCGCTCCTTAGATTTTGTTTTTCTCTCTCCTCTCTCTCTTCCTCTCTCTTTTTCTCCTCTCAGCATGTCTCTCTTCTTCCTCTCTCTTCTTCTTCTTCTTCTCTCTCTCTCTCTCTCTCTTCGCTCCTTCTCTCTCTCTAACTCCCTAAAGCGCGCGAGTAGCTTTCTCATTTGAACTAAATAATAACAGCAACGAGTATTGTCATTATAACTTATTGTTATGTCAATATATTTGTCATTATACGCTCCTGATATATATATATTATATAATACTATATATATATACATATACATGTGTGTTTGTATAGATGTGTGTGTGTGTATGTGTGTGGCGTGTGGTTTGTAGAGTGTGTGTGTGTGTGGTGTGTGTGGTGTGTGTGTGTGTGTGTGTGTGGTGTGTGTGTGTGTGTGTATGTGTGTGTGTTGGTGGTGTGTGTGTGTGTGTGTGCTGTGTGTGTGCGTGTGTGTGTGTGTGTGTGTGTGGTGTTGTGTGTTGATGTGTGTGTTATTGTATGGAGGTGGCGGACCACAGAGGACAGGGGATTATAGGCAATTGCGGAAATCTTCAATAACACAGCAGCAAGCGTTGAAAAATAAATCTATATGACCTAAGAATAAAGGCCCGTTTCTTCTGTAGCTCTGTGCAGTCCCAGTACCCTAATGAAAACACTAAACACAATAAGAGCTGATTAATCAGTGATATATGATATATTGACAATCTACCAATAGTTACAGCCGGATATAAGCAATTATTTCCTGTTAAAAATGCTAAAAATTCAATTTTCAACCTGTAAATTTAGAGGAAAAATATATTCGGACACCCCTAGTTTTATATATAGCCTTTGCCTCCTTCCAGTTGCAATATAAGTTATAGTTTACTCCCCCCCCTCTCCATCGGTGGACCTCCCCACCCCCCGTGAACCTTACCCCACCCCGCCGTCGGCGGATCTTACCCCACCCCTATCGGGGACTTTAGCCGCTGTATGCGGGGGGGGGGGGGGTGGTGGGGGTCTGTGCCTACACAGCGGTGTGTTATGCAAGCGCACTGCCACACGGTCACTCGGACAGGGCTCTAGCAGGGCGTTATTACATGTGAACATGCGCTAAGTCTAAGTGACAGCTGCCGGTTCTCGTCAATCTAACATCCCGACCATGTTACATCCGCAAGAAAACGAGCTATACACGTGTAAACGTCCGCTAGCGGTGACATTCACACAGCACAAGCATCTTATAATGAGATGAGCGGCACCTCTAATGAGTCTACGGTCGCGACAGGTGATTTAATTAGTATCCTGTATTGAACATTTGGCAAAACGAGAAACTGTCGTGATTTAATTTGCTTGATGGTTGGGGAGATTTCTGAATAGATGTTAGCGAAAAAGTGTGGCAGTGGTGTGCTGTGTGTGTGTGGTGTGTGTGTGTGTGTGTGTGTGTGTGTGTGTGTGTGTGTGTGTGTGTGTGTGTGTGTGTGTGTGTGTGTGTGTGTGTGTGTGGGTGTGTGTAGTGTGTGTGTGTGTGTGTTGTCGTGGTGTGTCGTGTGCGTGTGTGTGGTGTGTGTGTGTGTGTGTGCGTGTGTGTTGCGTCCGGGGTGTGTGTTGTGTGTGTGTGGTGTTGTGTGGTTTGTGTTGTTGTGTGCTGTGTGTGTGTGTGTGTGTGTGTGTGTGTTGTGTGTGTGTGCATGTGTTTGTGCAGTCACTCACCCGCATCAGTAGTAACCAGAGGAATGCTGTCGGTATATTCATCTTCTTTGTCTTTACACGCAACGTTCTCTAGAAACAATCGAAATGCAAATCCACATTTTTTCTTGAGTTTAGATTCTTGCGGGTATTTATTATAAGCATCGATTAAAGATCGATGGAATTGAATAAATAAGTATGGCTGATGTTATTCCGTAACACGTTGGCTATTGTTATAGCATTGAATGGTTGTAATATGTTGAGAAAAACAGGGTAAAAGTTATTTTATATTACCCCAATGACACGCATGTTGCACAGCAACAAATAGAGTGAGAACGTTGACTATTCACCGTAACCAATTTCATACTCATGTCAAATCATGTTACCTTAGTTTACAAACGCTCTATGCTCTCGTGTTTTTTACTCAGTTTGTCTTCTAATAACTTTTCATTTCAGTCGAAACTATCCAGAAATGTTTTCCTACACGATGACAGCGTATGAGTTAGCGGAAATAGCATAAAGTACCCAGTAATAGAATACGGATATTAATATTAAAAATAGCAAGTATATAGTTAGCAAAGTTTACCTTGTTCTGGTTCCTCGTAGCTTAGTCCTTCAGAGACTCTCTCTCTACCACCGACCAGCACCTGCGACCGATGGTATCAACTGATCTTTAGCAATATGTCACAGAGGCGAAAATACACGCGCCGCGGCATACACGGAAAAAAATCCGGCGGTTGATGTGCGATGGCAAGAGAAAGACCTCACTGACGTGTGCTCAACCTTGCGACGTGTCGAGAGTCCTATATAACGGTGATCTGGCTATTGATGTGTAACACGCGACCTCGTTGCTCCGTGACAGCGCGTGGCAAGGCGTGTTCGCGTGTAGCCTATTACACACACACACACGACGCGCGCGCGCGCGGCGGCACACACACACACACACCACACGCGCCGCGCGCGCGCGGCCACACACACCACACACACACACACACACACACACACACACACACACACACACACACTCACACTCACACTCATGCACACTCACACACCACACACACACACACACACACACACACAACACACACACACGCACGCACGCACGCACGCACACACACACTCACTGCACTCAACACACACATACGCGTGGCATGCAACCCATGTCCTGGCTAAGTTTCGTAACATGGTTGTTCCGTACGCGTGTGTGTGGGGGGGGGGAGGGAGTGACCCGCAATTCGACTGTTTAATACGTGCATTTGTCATGATACATCACAAGTTGCTCAACGAAAACAGAGGCGTGCCTATTCGACTCCCATCGCGCTAGTCGCACCCTCATCACCCTCATAGCTGCACGGTGCTCTGCATAATTAAATCTAGCTGCTTAGGATGCAGATTTCCGTACCTCTGTGTCAGCGATCTCCTCGCTAATAATGCACGCATGATTCACACAGGTGTCTCAATGAAGCACAATCTTCTTGAAACTCCACCTGTACAGTGGCGTAGCTAAGATTTTTCAGCGGGGGGGGGGGCCTGGGGGGCCTTACATTTTTCGTGGGGGGGACACAAATATATAACTTTTCTTTGTATTATACTGTTCTAACGGCATTTGTTTTTAATTATTTTTTTTATCAAGCATGAATTTTCAGTGGGGGGGATACCTGGGGGGCACAGACAATTTGTGGGGGGGGGCACGTGCCCCCCAGGCCCCCCCCGTAGCTACGCCCATGCACCTGTAAGTATACACTGAGCAGTCGATACACTGAGCAGTGGCTGAACAGGTACCCCTGCTTCGCACGCATCGGCAAACGATAGTCACGAGTTCATATCTCATACGTTGCTCTCATAAATCTCTCGCTAACCAGGTATATGCGGTAATACAGGTAGTGCAGGTATACAGCTGTCATAAACCGCTCATGCATGCACTTAGCTACGCTACATTTCCAGTTTTTCGCCAACGACATTTCTCGTCGTTCACCTATACAAGTTGTTTATTATTCGCGAAGCGGTTTTATTCACGTTATTCATTGACAATGGTTGTAGTGGAATTCGCCAATGGCCCATGGCTTATTGCGGACGTGCGAGTTATAATTAATCGTTGATAACGAGTACCGACGATATAGCGACGTATCGTTATTGCTAGCGATGACAGGAAACGTGTGATTATCATTCATACGGCCGCCATTTTGTGATTTTCGCAATAAACTTTCCTTACGTTCTTAGAATAACTGCCCCCAATATATCGGCTCCGCAAAAAATGGTTCTTGGATTAGCGTATACCGTGCGATAGACTACTCTCATCATAATCAGCTTATGTTTCCGAGTTGATTTGTCACATCGTGTGTATGTTACACACGAAATACCTCACATCCGGCGTATCCGATCCGAGTTTATGAATTATACGCATTTACCTGACTAAAACAGAGACGTTTTTGTTCTGAAATGTCACACTTGCTCTTGAGGTAAAATCTATAATATGTGCAGTAAGTTCATTATACTTAAAACGGGATTCTAATATCGTATGAAGGGGATGATGGTAAGTGAGTGTGTACGTCGGTGTTCTTTAGTTCAACCTTGACAGTGGAATTTCTTGTGTCAGACGCACATGTGTGTATCGAAGCTTGTAAATGGATATCTGAAGGAATATCTTGCGACCTTCGTACGATTAACGAAAACGATAACAACTGCAGTCTTCATAGATATGCCACATCGCATTCATCTGGAAACGCAGTGCTGCGGCGAAACACGACAATCGGCTCTACGCACTTTCTCATGTCAATGACTTCATCTTTTTCTCACATGATTGACCCAAAAACAGGGGGGCGATCGGCGAGTGAGATGGCGTGTGCAGGCAGGTCACTGCGTCAGGTGTCGCCTTTCACCAAACGGCACGTCCGTCATTCGACCGACAATCGTTCGCAGTCTTTAACTTTTGCGTCGAACAGGATGTGGGTTAATATTGTAGTGTGCACGAGCGCAAACCCCCGGAGGTGGTTCCGGGTGAAATGATTGTCAAGCGTCGCTTCGTTGGTTACGGCACGTAGACGTTTGTCTCTCTATCACATCAATGGCTTTGTGTATGGCTGTATGCCATTATTAAAACTGCTGCATAACTTCATGTTCCTGAACTGATGAAACTAAAAGCTATAAACTATTAAACTAAATGGTGTGATGTAACGAGTGAATTAGCGGTTATATGTAAAGCGAACGCGCATATGCGGTCGTGCACGGAGCGAATTACAATCCACAAACGTTATATTATAATGTCCATTACGACTGTACAAACACAACACCACCTTACATAATTTAATCATCAGTATTTATATTGCGAAGTTTAAATAAAATTAAATATATATATATTATCAGGAGGATATATTACCATATTATTATATCATATTATAATTCTATATTATCTTACTCCTGATATTATGTATATATATTATGTGTGTGTGTGTGTGTGTGTGTGTGTGTGTGTGTGTGTGTGTGTGTGTGTGTGTGTGTGTGTGTGTGTGTGTGTGTGTGTGTGTGTGTGTGTGTGTGTGTGTGTGTGTGTGTGTGTGTGTGTGTGTGTG